CAATCGAGGCAGCATATGATAAAGATAATTCCACAATAATAGTTTATTCAATAAAACGTAGTATTATTATTTCTTCATGTAAGTATTATTTAGCTTTGTTTGTTTGTTTGTTTGTTTGCTTGCTTGTTTGTTTGTTTATTTATTTATTTATTTATATTATATTTATTTTTTATTTTACAGTTGAATTGGAAAAAGACATCACTATCAAAAAATTAGATTTTATTTATATAAAAAGTCAATTAGAATGTCTATTATTAATACTACATCATACAAGTACAAATAATTACATTTGTAAATTAATAGATCCTTATAATTTAGATAACTTTATAGAAAATACATATGAAGATAAAAATGATATCATATTTGGATCAACCATATCAGATAATAAAATATTTATGGCTATTAACAATCAAATTTACATTAAAGAATTTATTAACAAAGAAAAATTAAATGATTTTCAACAAATATGTATAAAAAATAGCTATTATTTATATTTATATATAGGACGGACATTAAGTGAAATGTACAATAACAAAGAAATTAATTATGAGGATAGTGAATTTGATATTGAACCAGGAAAAACTATTAAATGGTCAATAGAGTATAATAGTAATAATCGACATATCAATATAAAAATTCAAAAAAAAATTGATAATGAATTTCCAACGATTGATAATGAGACAAAAGAAGAATTTTCAACAATTGATGAATATGGTCTTCAGACTTGGGAAAGATTTAAATGTTATAAATTACTAAATAATAATGATTTAATTTTAATAACACATGAATACATACACATTTTGACATTTAATCATCAAAATTCTAAAATATTTACAAAGTATATTATTAAAGAAACATATCAAATTTATAGTAATAAAGGAAGAGGATATTTTATTGACAATGGAAAAGCTATAATGGGGAAAATTAAAACAGCTATAGAAAATAATAATATTGAAGATTATTTATTTAATTTTAATGATGTTACTGAAGATGATTATTCATATATTGATAGACATAAAATTTCCAGACAGCCTTACAAAGAAATGATTTTATATATGTTGGATGATTTATATAATTTCAAACATGGAGAAAAAATTTTAGGATTAGCATTAAAAGTAAATGATAGCATAGTTGTAGAAGAATTATTTGATTCCTGCCTTAAATATTTTCAAGAGGATACTGCAACAAATATTAGTTTATTAAAAATAATTATATCAAATTTACCAAGATTACAAAAAAATTATCAAAAATTATCAAAATTCTTTGATCAAACTTCAATGATATCATTTCCATTTAATGATAGAATTTATCATAAAAAAATTGTTTATAGTGCAATGGTTAATGAAAATTTTATTTATAAAGATAAAAGCTTTTGGGATTTGTTTTTTAAGTCTGAAATGTTTGGAGTGTATGGAATACTTGGAGTATTGGGATTTTTTGGAATATTTGGAATATCTGTAATATTTGCAAAATGGGGAGTATTGGGACCATATGAAATATTTGGAATATGTGGAGTATTTGGAATATATAGAATGTCTAGGTTTTTTTACAAAAATTACAGTAAAAATGATGATGCTAAACCTTGTGTAAAATTGATAATTCCATATCCTGGATTACTTACATACAAATTATACAAAACCAAATATTCATTATTTAAAGAATTATTATATAAACCAGATAATAGTATATTTGTTGAATTAGTTGAATTGGATACTTTGGAATTATACAAGAATTTGAACATTGAACTAATTTTGGATCATAAATGGATCACTTTTGGATTCAGATATTATATTGGAATATTGACTTTTTATATAGTATTTTTATTAAGCTTTGTTACTGCAACAACTTCTACATTATCTTATTTATCTGATAATGGCAGACATTCATTATTAACAGCAACAATTGTCCTTGGAGCAATTCATTTTACAGTAGAAGTTAGACAATTTATCTGGAAACCATTGAAATATACCACAGATTTCTGGAATTACTTTGGTATGGTGTTATTTTGTTATTATCATTTATTATAAACTAATTTTTAATTATTTATTTAATTAATAGACCTAGGTGCCTATTCCTTAGCAATTGTTACTTCAATTCTATGGCTGTATTATAATAAACCACCACCTATTCAACTGATTTCTGCATCAAATTTATTATTAGATTTAAGATTAATGTTATTTTTAAGAGTTTTTAAAAATTTTGGAGCATATTTTGCCATTATTATAGGAGTTGCTAAAAAACCGGGAAATTTTATAAAACATGTTTGCTTAAAAATATAATATGAAAACAAATTTTGCTTTATTTAATTGA